CGTATACTAATGTGCCCCCACATTATTTCGCACAGAGTGCCTTCATAAAGGATATGAAGTTGGAAAGGACACCTTTGCTCACCAGACGATTACAAAGTTGCCGACGATCGACAGAATCCAAAGCACGTTTCAAATCCAGAAACACAACGTGGGATCTTAATGAGTGGCACTGTTCAAGAATATGTATCAAGGTGAAGATATGGTCGATGCATCCATGACCAGGGCAAAACCCAGCTTGGTTATCACGAATCCCTCTCTCGACAATCGTTTGTCGAAGAACGTACTGTTTTCCGTGCCCAGTTCAGGGCAGCGGAAGCAGAGCGGTGGTCAATCTTTGCACTGGCAGAGGGAGATGAAAGGGACTACGAAAGGTTTGGGTGACGTCGGTCTTTTTTAGGCAGTATTCCACACGGATCCTGTTTTTTTTCAGCTCGCAATTTGGCACTGATACGGCTGAGAGAACTATCCCGCGAAAGTTTGGCCAACATTCGGGACGCTTGCAGGTCCGGGCAGTATTCCGGATCCTGTTTTTTTTCAGCTCGCAATTTGGCACTGATACGGCTGAGAGAACTGTCCCGCGAAAGTTTGGCCAACATTCATTCGGCTTGCAGGTCCGGCATCAAGCCGAGATCTGATTGGTTGAAATTCAGGACCCAACAGCCAATCATGATCCATCATTGGCCGAATGCCGGTTCACAATTGCACATCCGGGCGTCAGAGTGCCCAAAAGGTTGTTGGTGCTTACCCTATACATATGACGCGCTGTACACGTGTTCTTGGCTTTCTTTTGAGCATTAATATACGTTGTGCACATTCGGTGGTTGTATCGATGTGAACGCTAGCTTGAGAGGCTCAGATTCAGTGCGGAGCTGAGGAAAATACCGTCATTAAAGCCCCATTCTAGAATGCGAGCCACGCCAACGCCACCGGGAAGCTTTGTTTTCCCTTTCACATCCCTCCTCTAGGTCAACGGTTGGTCACCTCTACTTCCACTACTCTGAATTGGGCATGGAAAATAGCTCTCTTCGGCAAACGATGGTTAAGCATACGCAACACGTGTCCCAACCAATGCAGCTTCTAGTGCTGGATACATCCTTCAATGGAAGCACCCGTTGCACAACCGAGAACTCGCTTTCTAAACACCTCGTAACGGACGCGCGGACACCAAACCACATGAGCTACTGTTCTGAGGCAACGATTATCAAACACCTGAAGACGCCTGGGTTCCGCTGCTCGAACAGGCCAAGTCCCAGCCATACAACAGAACAGCCCGCACTGCAGCTTGATACGCACTTCCCTTGAGTTTCAGCGATACATCCTAGGTGATACCTCATAGGTGTCTCAAATTAGCGAACGCAACCCGAGCCTTGCAGATTCGTGCATTGACCTTATGTATCACACAACAGTCAGATCAAATACAACTTCTGAGATACGCAAAACGCTCCACAACTTTCATTGCCTCTCCGTGGATTGTAAGTTGCGCGTTCAGTAACCGCATGTTAACCTGCATGACCTCACGCCTCGTGCGTACAAATTGCATGCCAATGGACTTTGATCAGTTCGTCCAAAAACACCTGCACCTTCTTTTCATCTTCGGAGAGAAAAATGTCGTCTGCGATTTGATATCGACAAGGTTTTCGTCGCAGGCTACTTGAACTCCGGGTTTTGGAGACCTTTCAGCGTTCGTCTCATTATCTCATCGATCACGAAGTTAAATAGGAGAGGAGAGAGTGGGCATCCCTGACGGACACCGCTTTGTGTACGAAAGCTTGTGGAGAGCTCTTCGTATACTGTTCCACGCCCAGCAGTCTGAGAACACAAAGAGCGTGTCATGTTCACAAACTTCCGGGACATTCCTTGATGGGCAAGCGTGTCTAGAAGAACAGACCGGTCAACCGAGTCAAATGCGCCTTGAAAATCCAGGAATCGTGGGCTGCTTATACGTATGGCGTTGTTCTAGCACCTGACGAAGTGTGTAGATTTGGTCAACACAACTCCTGCCAGGTCGGAATCCCGCTTGCTGCTCTCGAGTCAGTGTTTCACGAGCCACCGTGAAGCGACGAAGCACGAGTGACGCCAACAGTCTTGTTACGACAAGGGTCAAGCTGATCCTCCTGTGGTTGCCACACGAGCCCCTTTTTTGAAAATGGGCACTACCACAGACTCTCCCCAGTTCTCGGGAATGCAGGCAAATAGATCAGACAAGCACTAACTGAGGACTTCACCCCCATCTTTGAACAACGCGGATGGGAGGTCATCCGGACCAGAGGCTCGGTGGCGCTTGAGAGAACGTATGCGGTCATAAATCTCCGATGCCGTGGGCGTTCTTTATTCGAGTTAATCACTCCATTCCGACCCTTGATGGTTTCGCCCACAGATGGTTTCCAGGGGCCGGTCGCACGGATCAATTGAAATAATCTTTGGGCATTACCGGCTTTCTGAGCCTCTTCCATTCCCTTGGCTTTTTGTGTCCACCACACTCCACGGTTGGCTTGCACGCTCGCCTTCACTCGATGTCTGATAATTCGTCGCATCAAGTTATGTTCGGTACCTGCTGGGATGCTTCTCCGAGATTTAAGGAATGCCACCGTTCGGTCTGATATCCGGTGCTTGAGTGAGGCTGGTGGTGCTGTACCACAGGCGAGATTCCCAGCACTATACAAAGAAGTGGCAATCTCGTCCCAGTATGAGTTTGCATCTGATAGTGTAGCATTTGGAAGAGATTCTAGAGGACGATTCTGGTAGGTTCGTCTAACATCCGGATATGCCAGCCTTTCGGTCGCCGAGTGATTTGTCCGCACCTTACGTGGCCCAGGAAAATGTAGAGAGGAACGACTCCGGACGAGTGTGTGGTCGGAACCCAAAACGACCGGCAGTCGGTTATGGACCCGCGCCGTCGGCAATTGATGGCAATGCGATCGATTTGAGTTTATGGTTGTTAGAGGACACCTTGTGGCCAGACGGCTTCGTCTGCTTCGGAAGTCGGTACTGCATAAAGACAGTTTGTGATCAGCACACAGCTGAAGCAATCGTTTCTCATTGTCCGTATCTACCGATTCCATTTCATCTCGACCTCCTAATCGAGTCTCAGATACGCTAAGCCTGCCCGCCAGTGCATTAAGATCTCCGGCAACCACTACGATATCTGAGCTTTTGGCTAACCGTAACAGGGCATTCAGGGCCTCGTAAAACCTGTCTTTGACGGCGTCGGAGCTACAGTCAGTTGGGGCGTAAGCATTCATCGGTCAACTTCCCGCTTGTAAGACTCCTTCACAGAAGTTGCCAGACAAACAGCACAGAGGCGCCTATCAACAGGTATCCAGCCAAGCAAGGATACTTCCACCCGGTGACTCAGAACAATACCAACCCCTACACATCTCGCCGCAGCAATCTCTGGATCACCAGAGGTGCGCAGCCGGAAGCGAGTGGAGAGTGACGGGGAGGCTAGCTCAACCACTGCACACATCAATGCCAATGGAGTCCAGTGTGAGAGCAAGAGTAGCTTGTTGTTCTGCTTGCTTCAGAGTGCGGACCTTGAAGGCAGCCAGGTAGACTGGGTGTTGAGGCTTGAAGATTGACTCAGAGATACCTGAGGATGTCGGCGCTATGTGAAGAGCAGGTGCTGCATGCAAAACCGATACGAGACTAGCGGAGTCATCGGTTCTAAGTGCTGAGCCTACAAGGTAGAGTTATTAATGGGATGGGGAGCTGGGATGGGGTGAATAAAAAGTATGTGAAGGAGAAACAAGGGAGGCGTCAGAAGTAGCCTGTTTTCGCTTACCCGCCCTGCTATATACAGCGAATAAGGCGACTCGGCTGGTGGCACCACGTGACGGCCGATGTGGTATAAGTTTATTGCTATACCTAGGTGTCATAGTTGTGCGCGGGCTGGGATACTGTCATTGCGCCCATACCTAGACAGGAGGTCAATTCGGGTCCATAACCGAAGTTTTTGACTCAAGAGCCTAAGCGGATGGCAACGGTGTTTGGATGGAAATACAAGTGCATTACCATTTCTACGGAACAAGCTGACGCATGTTCCAACCACCAACCTGTAGGACACGGAGACTGTTTTCGTCACACCTCTAACCATTGACCAACCTGGTATGGAGGCTCTGTGAGTATCGCGGGGCACTCCCCAGTATAGCTCAGTGGGTCGCTGAGGTGCGCAAACCGTCACACCGCGGTAAGGTCCAGTCTCTTTGTGATAAATGCGCCTTCTCCAGGCGTTCTAACCATCCACCACCTTAAATTCGCCGGTAAATGTGATTATTGGCTCGCATAGTTATTGGACTGTAAGAAATTCAGGATCCAGAACTGACCCTGTACTGTCTCCACAAGTTATCGGGTCTAGGGTAGAGAGCACTTTGCTACGATTTCACACCAGCTGACTCGGTATTTTCTGCTGGCCATGTAAATACAACCTTTTTGAAGAACCGCCGCCCTCCGTAATTTCATCGCCTTCATACGTTTTGTTGTTTAACAACCAACGCGTTCACCTGACTTCCAAATTTTCGACGTGGAGCATAACTTGAGATCTGCTCCGAATGTGGAACAGCGTTACATACTTCATGATGATGATCGGTGTGGTACTGTGCGTGCGGACAGTGCAAAAGTCCTCTGTCTTTAAGGCTCCTTTCCGAACCTCGTGAAATCCCGCGCACGTGGTAAAGAACACTGATGGAAGCCTCCAGGTATCTACAGTTTCAAACGGTATTGAAATAAACATTTAAAAATGCTGCTGGTGCAAAAAGGCACCATCTGGTGGACGGGTCTACCAATCAGCTTAGTTGCATCACCTACAACGTCCGCTTTACTCAGAATCACTGCCACTCACTGGTGAGTAGTTTACATACCATCTCGTACCATCTCGGTTTGGTATGACAGCATGTCATCGAATGCGGCAGTGTATTTAGTGCTCAACCCACATGAGTATACCTAGAAGCCACTTTCCGTTTGTTCCCTTCTGGCTTTACACCGTTCTTTTGCTATTCTCTTGTAGCGTATATAATATGACCGATTGGGATAAGCGAGTGCTAACCGCCAGGGCGGCACTGTGTAAAGTTCTTCAGGAACACCATGCTTTCATACCGAAGCACTCGGAAATCTTTCAGTTGGCGCAGGAGTTTGAAAGTTTGAAAGAAGTAGGTTTTGAGTCTGACTTCGGCTGAGTTTGTTTTATAAGTTACACCAGCAGTCATGCTTCCATTCTCGCATTAGAACTCAAGTTGTACCTAGACATCATAGGAGTGTCCATGTTTGCTCTTTCATCGTTTCCTACTAACAGTATACTCGAGTCTTAGGTGGATAACCAATAATTATTCAACATGGGTCTGCCAACGCTAATCTTCCCGAGGTGTAGACCCCAAGCGTGGGCATGGTTGTTTCTGGTATCAAATCCCCTGAGACTGGGTAACACGGACCGAATCGATTTCAGAGCGGCATCATATGTGGAACACGAAGTGCCTAGGCCAGCCAACCTTTAGGAGAAATATGCGGTGTCGACACACCTCGAACACACACAAGCGTGTTGGGGGGGGTGCTTGATTGAGAACAGAATGCTTTACCCTGGACTACATATGTGTGGAACAATATCCGGTCGTTTTAAATCCAGGAATGTCATGCCAATCGTAAGATTCCAAAACAAACGACATTACTCACATAAATGGAGTAACTAATGCCGCACTGTTGCGGTTGGGTTTTTGTTAGTTAAACCTTCAAAGGAGTTTCTGCTACCGAGGTACTCATCATCATCAAGGACAGCAACATCAGTGCTGGCACTGATGCTTCACTATCGAGGTATTGCTAAGGAAATTCATCAACACCATAAAAGTAGTTTCAGTGCTGCTCAGTTGTTTTGTTCATTCAAAAGCCAAACCATCATCTCTTTGCATGACAAGCATAAGTTGTCATTGTTGGCCTCGTCTGTGGTGGTCTATTCTTTCAGATGCATTAGTGGCGTTTCCTATATTATTTGAATGACCCATCAGCTTTCCGTCCTTATCTATGAATTCCGCTGTATCCTGTGTTGTCCTGTGTTTCTCATTAACTGAGAACCGACAGCTTGTTAACTTTTTGTAATTGTTGTCATTTTGCCGCTTCTCGACCCGTTTAGCTTGTTCCAACCCTGACCGGATCCCACTCACTATCTGTGGATGGCGACCATACGTTATCGGCTTCCGTGGCACACTCGGAGATTGTGTCCACTTTGAAGGAGACATTAGATATGCACGCTAACTGTGTGTACTTATTAGAAGTCCACCGGGCGATCGATCTGTTATCGACATCGGTCCGTCAGCTTTGTCAGTGTGTCTCGCGATCTCATTTGGACTTGTCAGACCAAGAAGATGATGTCAGGCCTGTGGCAGACGGTGATCCAGAAGGGCCAGCCACCACCAGTGGACTAGAGGAGGATCTTGGTGGATTGGGTCGGATGGAACAAGCCGATTGTCTGGATATTGATTCAGACACCTACAGGTGTGGTCTGGTCTTCAGAGTTTGTCGTGGGATTTTCAGTCATTTTCTAGTCATTGCTTGCAGTTGTGTCTACTGCTCTAAACCCGGTCCTTCGTTTTGTTACCTGGACTGGATTCGGACTGAGTTTCATTGTTATGCTGTTGCGAACCTAGGATTTAAGTGATGATGGTCTGTATTGATATGCAGTTTATACAAATCATCACATAACGAACATACAGGCTTGCATGATTAGGAAAAGCATGTGGTCCATTCAATCCAAAGTGGCTGAAAATAAACGACAGCAACCCGTCATTAGAAACCATCGCAATGAACGGAGATTCCCCTTTTCCTGGATGGCTTCACTCCAGGGAATTGAGCACTATGTTTGGGATGACGAGGAACGCTACTTTGGAACTTCCCAAGGCAGTGACCCCCCTTAGGAGGCGCCTCTGTGAACGGCTTTCTTGTGATGCGAATTTTCTGTCTAGGTTTGGAACGTGCAATGTGGAAATTCGATGCTCAGGAGTCTTCAAGAAGAGGCCTTCAGTGGTCATCAGCGCAGTGCCGTCAGTGTGTGGCCAATTTGCCTTCAATTGTCTTGTTTATAAAAGGTCCTTGGATCTTACCACTATGTCAATCGATTGCCTCTTTTCTCATGGCCTATTTCCAGTCGGTTGCACTTAAAGATAGTGGTCTGTCAAGCTGCCTTCCGCTGTACTGTGTCTGGGTCCTTTCAACGTCAGGCAGCATGTGAAAACCTCGTGTTAGTCAGTGTTGACAATTACTCAGGTTGCCAAGTGATGTTTGCGCACATATGGTCGGTCCTTCGGGGATCAAACCTAAAGCAGCCACTATCATGAAATGCAAACCTGGGCGTGTGACTTCTGTTATCCGGTCGCCATTCATAAATTCAAAAGTGTTAATCTGAATGGATGCAGTTACATCGTTTCCACCAAAATACTTCACCAACCTCATTTCTGAGGTTAGCATGGCATCGGATTTATTTTGCGTCTGCGGAACACTGGCCGCCCTTTCGTGACAAGATGCTTCCCCCGAAAGTCATCACATCAAGGTAATAACCAAAAGTAGTTTCTTTTGAAAAGTGGTCATATGCACATAGATATATTTCTAAACGTGTGCTCTCTTATGGAACTTGACGGAAGTAGAATGATTAGGCTGTTCACCGAAAAGTGCACATAGCCACTTAAAGTGATTCTGAACGTTCTTGTTGGATCATGTGACGCTGTCTAACTGCTGAACTCCACTTGAATGCTTCGCTGAAGACTTGCATCGCAATCAGGTAAAAATCCGTGTACTGCCTGCAGAAAATCATAGGGCTTAGTTCAGGATTCGCTCTGGCTGACGGGCGTGTACAATCAGTACGTGATGTTTATGGTTGACGCGTAAGGCCGTTTCATCAATCAGGGCATAATGGAATGTTCCGAATCTATGCTGTTCAATGGTTTGTGAGTCCGCGTTGTGTCCGGGCGCCGGCCAGACAATCCTTCTGTAAGACCTCTGTGAATCAACAGGTTGTGCCTCAGAGTCTTTGGTGAAACAATGTGTTGCCAGCGGTCTCGTTGACTGAGAAGACACATCAGAGGAATTCGTCCAAAGCCTGTGGGAAGTAATTCGTGTGTTTGAATTGTTTTTGAATGCTTCACAGTAAACTTCAAAATTCTGAAAGTTAATGCGCCAGTGATATGGTTGAGAGCCCGATGTTGGCCTATAATTGTCGTTCTAAATTAATCATACTGATATCGAATCAAGTTTTAGTAGCAAGCCTGTACGTGGCTTTCTGAGATGACATGCCTTTGGATGTACATTGAGGTTCCATGTGGTTCAGTTGCGTGCACTTTTATTTACTATAGGGTCATAAATTATGGCGTTGAAAGGATAGGTATCATGGTTTGCTCCCATTGGCTGAAATGGCCAATTAAACTATATAATTTTTCCGTTATTATCCCTAAAAGTCACTATCGGTCCCCTTCATTCTTGGTTTGGGATTTATAATTCGTGTCTCAGTTAGAGGGATTGTTCGGACACTCAAATATGTACCGGGAAAACCGACTTCTTTTTCGTTGGGTGTACGCTGGTTAGAGCTTAACAGAACAAATTCTGAGATACGGCCAGTATCAGTTAGAAAACTAAAGTCAATGCTCTTTCATACTATGCTACTTTGTCGTTTCTGGTTCCACAAGTATTACGTCTGCAATTAACAGGCAACTTTGATGCGAGGTTTTCCGGCACTTTTAGTGTTAATGGGACTTTAGTGCTTTGGGCGTTCGATCCCTTCTTAGGTCGTTCATTTCACATCACGCGTTTAACCATTGTCTTACAGTCCATCCTGATACTCTGCTATCGTTTTGGCTTCTCCGTATCGTCTCTGCCACGGTACTGGTGTAACGGTGATACTACTGATCGGGAGGCACGCGAGTAGTATGTGTTGTTCGTAGAATTTCACTTTGGGTCGATTGAAAAATGGAATTCTGTTGCGGAATTCGTGGGACCACTGTGGAACATTTGCTTGGATTTGACCAACGAATGGGTGGAGGCATCGAATCTCTAGGAAGATTCGTTCGGGAGAAGATCTGTGTCCAGTTTTTGGAACTAAGATGCAGATTAGTGTTTTGCTTCCCTGTTCAATGGTCTGTAACCGGTCAGTTGGCATTTCCGAATAAATAACTCCACAGCAAGGACCTTCTTCCTTTCACTAGTAGCGAGCGCCTGAACGATGCATGGTAAGATATGGAAGGAGCCACGCTAACGGCGTTTGAAGCCATCTGTCCGACCTCTATCGGATCAAATGACCAGTGGATATATAATCCGTACCACTAGGCCATCAGTACGACGGCACAGTTAAATCCCTCAAACCCCAAATAGCGTAGAACCTGACAGGAAACCTAGAGCTTTAGCGGACGATGAAAGCTCTGGAGACGAAAAAGGGTTTTGTCAACGAAATCAGCTGTGTTCAACTAATACTGTCGATGGCCAAAGTAAACCGGTGGCCAGTGAAGCGATAAGCAAAGGAGCGGGTGTAGTATCTCACTCGCGAAAATCTCGACTGAAAAGATAGACCGAACACTTTCGGGGACAGCTTAACTGGCCTCCTGCAACACAGCTCCTCGAGATATTACATGCCGAAAAACGGAGTGCAAACCTTAGTTGCTAGTCAGCAGAAGGAATAAAGTTGGAACTATCCTTTTTGTAATTCGAGAAGGCACCAAAACTGGATGGTCTGTATCCAGGCCTGTTCAAAGAAGGTGGCGACTCCCTGGTGAACCATGTAACAAAAGTTGTTGGCGTGATTTGGATCGAATTGAAAGTGTTTGTAGAATAGGGCACGTTGACAGTTGTTCCTATCTCCAAAATGAGTACGCAGACGCTGTGTGAAAGCCACCATGATATCAACCTGTTATCTGTGGCGTCGAAGGTGCTCTCTCCGAAGGTTGCCTGAACACAGGGACATACTGATCCGCGAAGACCCAGCTGGGTTCTGACCTGAGAGAGGATGCACCGATCATATTTTCACCATTCGACAGATTGTGGAACGGCGACACTGTCTCCAGCAACCAATAATCGTGGTTTTTCTTGAAATGATATCTGCCTTTGACTCTGTGGACCAAGGGTGTCCCCTTTGAATTTCTGGTACTCTTTATGGCGTTGTGCATCAACTCAAACATCAAGTATATTAAACGTCAGAAACCAAGTCCAAAACCTATGTACAAGCAGTCGTATTTAAAGTGCGTGAGGCGGCAACATTCTGGAAATTCGGACACTCGGACGAGTCTTTGGCAAATCAATTACGATTGGATTGTGCGACCGAATACCTCTATTGTCATTGAGCGTATTCGGTTGCGCGGGGTCGTTGGTACGATATATCCGAACACACCGACTCAGCTGGATGGTGAAACTAATCAGAATGTCTGCACATCCGGCCTCCCTTCCTCTTGTTGTCACGACTATCACAAACCATAATTCGGCAACGTGGATGTCTCGGTTTTACCTTACATTATATTAGTTTACTGTTCCAGACAATTGGAAATTTCGCGTTAAGCGTCGCGGCAAACATTATCCGGTCTAGCAAGATCATTTGGGGCACGTGCTGTGTCCTCCCTGGCGTGCACGAACGACTGTGATCTAAAAGCGCATTTTATCTGCATGAAAGCTTAGTACCAGGCTTTTGGGAAGTCTGTTACGTAAAATACACAGCTCCTCAACTCGCGAAACGAACGTTCCACCTACACAAATTTTGTTAGCATAAAACCCTAATTATTTGCGTGTTCGTTAACTCATCCTCAACCCTTACTCCCCTCCCAGTCTTTATACCAGTGAGGTCGTGTCCGCCTTGGAAGAGGTTGAGAAGTTGTTGAGTCAACCGACAAAATTCAACAAAGACAACACGCTGGTTTTTCAGGGATTCTGTCTCACTCTCCGAGACTGTAAGGTGAGTTCAATGCATTCGTTTTTGTTATGGTACCCTCTACGGAGCATGGAACCTTGTCTGGTTGGATGTCAGGGTTCTTGATGCGTACAAGCTCGAGATAGCTCAATGGTTGAGGTGCAAACACTGGAAGGTCTGTGGTTCCAGCCAAACCTCGGCATCTCGACTGGTCTTGTATATGTTTGGACAACCTAACAGTATGTCATCCCTCGTGCTTTCTTCGGGTTGCATAGCAGAGTGCTACAGCTGGAAGATTGTTTATTTAACTATTATGTTGATGGGTTCGGGTGTTGGATGAACGGATCGCTCACGCGGATTGCAAGCAGTTGTATCTTCCATAAATTGGAACAAGCGGGTGAGGAGCTAGGTTTATTTTAAGCAATTTTAAGGCGGTCAATATGCACACTGGTTTGTTGGTGCTTTCCGTTTGGTAACACGTTTGTGCAAACAGACATTATAACCGATTATGTATTTTCTACAAGCCTCAGTTTTTGCAGCTTCATGCAGTGTTGAGGATGGAGGCACTATCTTCTCCATCATTGCAGACTGTGCTCACTACGCGAGCGCATCCTCACAAGAACTTTTCAAGATGTCAGAAGTCCCACTTCTCGCTGGTAAAGGCCTATGGTGGCGGTTACTCTAGAGTTCAAACCATTTACTCAATACAGTATCCCTCGTAAGATGAATAACAACGAACCGTTTTTTAGATATCTCGTCATCATCGACAGCATAACATCAGTGTTCAACACCGATGCTTCACTGCCGTACAACCATGATTTATTTGAAAGCCTTATTGTAAAGAAAAGAGTGAAGGTGGACGGGGAAGGGACTTAGTACTGGCTTACCACAGTCATTCCGAGGTGCATGTAACTCCAGACATTCACTCAGACAATCTGGATAGAAACTGACATCAAGAACGCCAGTGACATCGGTTTGCAGCCATATCTTGTAGTGTCTCCAACCAGGCACAGTGAGGATCACGCGGTCCCCATCCTGCAAGGCGAGTAGCACCAACAGCACCCAAGCGTTTCGTGATCCCCTTCATACTCCTCTGCCAAGTCAAGGGTTGGCCACCTCGGTGTTTACGCCACTCCGAATTGGGCATGGAAAACAGTACTCTCTTCGGCAAACGATGGTTCGGCATACGTAACACATGTCCCAACCAACGCAGCTTCTGGGGCTGGACACATTCTTCAATGGAACTACCCGTTACACAACCGAAAACGCGCTTTCTGCATCCATCAAGCATATCACCCTTGGAAAAAATTAAGCGAAAAACGTAACTAGAAGACAGTTGATTCTGAATGCCGTCACTTGTTAGTTCTAGCATGATCCTGAGCACAGGTCGTTTCACTTCACTACGGAACATCAGCCTGAGATATACCGATTAACGCCCAGTCACTTCTCCGGTTCCTCACTTTTTCAAACACCACATTGCCTCAGTTCGGTGACAGTTTGAACCCATTCACCTAAAAGCTCAGAAGGCGGGACAAATTATGGAGTGTAAAATGTCTGCCAGTTGGTGAGGAGTTTCAAGGTGAAGTACTTGTCTTGATAGCTGAATAATCCACGATTTTACTCTGGCAGATGAAATCAACGTTCGCATTAGCAAAGCTCAAGTCATATTTGACTATTTTGTTTCATTTTGAGCATCAAAAATGTTTCATTGTAACTAATAATTAATGATAATGACAATCGTTCAGCTGTAACACCTTTTCGGCGCCTAGATGTCATGCTGTTCAAGGAAGCATGAAGGCTGGGATACTGCCAGATTACCCAAGCCCAATCAGGGGAAGTCGGTATCCAGAGGTCGGGTTTGTCACTAACAGGACATGGCAAAATGAATTCGGTGTAACCACAGTGGATAACCCTTTATAGTTTCATCTTCAATTTCTGTGGTTGTTTCTCACTTCCGAGCACCGAACGATAACCTCCTCCTGTCTTTCTATGGGGACAAAGCACGGAAAATAAGTTTCTCCTGTGGCAGCGCCGTGATGTATACTACTTAATTAATGACTCATTGTTGTTTTCCTGGTCATTTCATTTCAAGATCATCCTGTACACAAATGCAGACCAACAACATGTGGGATGTAACGGTAATGAGGTCTCTTCGACATCGTGAACAGAGAAGACAAGTGGATATGTGATGTCATTAAACTGCAAAACGCACACAAACTCTCTATTCTAGCGAATATGCACTTATTTGCAAACTGATTTGGTTTTTTCGAGGGACTCACCTGGAACCTAGCTGAATCTTTCCGTTTTGATGTTTCCAGGCAACCGAATGGGCTGCACTAGGCCGCCTCATGTTTCAGTCGCTACGATATTCGAGATATCGCGACACATATATATTTTGTAATGCATTACTCTTCGACAGCCTACGACCGGTCTCGCCCTTCTTGGGGCTCATCAGGTAGGCGCAGTCCGTCAACCTTACGTTCTACTACCTACCTGATAAGCCCCAAGAAGGGCAAAACCGGTCGTGGGCTGTCGAGGAGTTTTCAGCAACCTTCTGAGTAGTGCATTACGCTCTATTCTACTCATGCATACGCTAATTTTCACATCCAAATTAATTTAGTATTAAAGGCAGCTCGCACTCTTTCGTCAGACAAAATAATTTATTGAGATTCCGCCTTTTTCCAATCAAATTCAGTGAGTCAAATTCAATGACAAGTTCAGTGAGTATTGAAAATTTGAGCAGGAAATGGTGGCAATAAAGACGGTTATTCGCGATTGCGTTTCTCAGGCTCTGCAATTAAATGAATGTCCAGTAGACTTCTAGCCGAAATGAACAGGGTCTTTCCGTTGCCCTGAAGGTTGGTAGCTCGATAAGACCTGTTCCGTTGATTGGGCGACTCTCATCAACCTCCTACCAACACACCACTGAAGATCAAGATAATTCACGGCTTTGATCGGGAAAAAACTTGGTTCTTTGTCACCAAACAGCATGTATTAGCCACATTTCTATGTTGTTGCAGTTTTTACTGTATTGTGCACCCAAACTGCACAATAACAGCCACCAAATTCACGAGGAACACTTACATTTCCTACTTGGTACTTTTTTTAGGAACCAAGCATGGAATAGGGTCGAAACATAAAAATCCCTGCCAACCAAAACATGGTTGATTTTGGTGAATTTTCGGATCGGTGCAAGGCATAGCAAAGCGTTTATAAGTAGTGGACGAAATTTTGGAATTGAAATGTCTCTGCAGCGTTTGAGGTTGTGAAGCTATTCTGAGACCTCTGCATAGGTGTTTCGTTCTGTTTGAAGTCATCTGCAACGCACAGTTCTTAAGTTTTCACGGAGATTTGAGTGCACTAGCTTTGGTAACAAATCGACCTATGGGTTACGGGAGATGAAGTGCTTCATGTTTCTCGAAAATTCACTGGCTAATTTGGTCATAAGTTTGTCCTGTTGTTCCTTCACTACAGCTGCTTTTACGTTTACAAAAGTTTCTTCTACTTGTTCTTCAGCGAACCCTTCATGAGCACATCGATATGTTATGGCGTCAGTGCTTTGTTTGGCGTCGATACAATCAGCAGACGGAAGAGGGCAACGTGGCGACTGCGACCAGTGGCTTGGCAGAACTGCTGAATGACCTGTGTGTCTCGACTTCCACACTGCCTTCCACTGCGGAAATGTACAATTTGTTGCGACGACCGTACGACAGCGAAGATTGTGGCAAACAATTTGGTCCTGTTAAACCGTCACCGATCATTGCCAGTTTCACAGTTTATGCGATGTCTGATCTACTTGTGCAGCTTTTCCGGTTAATAGATGCTCTCAACGACTCAGCGGTAAGTTGGACGTGTGTCAGTGGATAGGAACACCGAAAATTTTTCCATCGCTGGCCTTCACAATCTATATCGCTCTACTATGTTGGCCGAAAACCTAGCACGAATGTCCGTGGTTGTAGAACGGTATTTTCCTGAGCTTAGTTCTCGGTCTGAGCCTCCCAAGCTAGCGTTCACGTCAAAAGCAATCGTCGAAGGTGCACAAGGTATATTAATACCCCAAACGAAGTCAGGAACAATTGTACAGCGCTTCGTATATATATAGCGTGGGCGGTTATAACTTTCTGGAATTTCGGACGCGTTCTGGATGCGCCATTGGCAACCGGCATTTGGCCAATACTGGGTCATGATTGGCTGTTGGGTCTACATTCTCGACCAATCAGATCTCGTCTTGATGCCGGACCGACAGGCGTCCCGAATTCTTGGCCAGTCTCGTGCGGGCTACGATTATCGTCCGTAGCAGTGTCTGAAGACGTGCGGTATAGAGGGATCCGTGTGGATTCCCTCCTAACAGTGGTACATGCCTATAGAAACTAAGCGAACCAGAAAGAGTCTGTTGCACCCCGGTTTCCATCTTATCTAAATCATTCAGCTGTAGCACCCTTTCGGTACCTAACTGCCATGTTACCCGAAGGAAGCACGAGGGCTGGGATACTGCCAGGTTGCCCAAGCCTAGACGGGGGAATCCGAGATGCATCTTATCTGGTGAGCTCCGAATCGATGGAACAGTCAAACCAAACGTTTTACATTGGAGATTGTATCCGTGTACTTAAAAGATACGCGTTGTAACAGGTGAAGCAAGAATTCGTTCACTAAATTAGGGTGCGATTAGACAGACAACAGCTGTATTTTAATTAGCTGACTGAAAAGGAGTGACACGTCGAATAGTTGGCCACGGTTGGAACGTTTCAGACATACAGCGGCGGACGAAGGCGAATTCAGACGTGTCACGTCCCCGTATTTAAGCGGGTACCGGTTTGTTCACTACGCTCGATCAGGTAGTTGAAGACGATCAACTACCTAACCACTATTTTCAAGTCACACTTGCTGCTGCGCTCATTCCCGAGGGACCGGATTCGTCGAAGAGTGTTCTCTAAGTTGGTAATGTGTTGGAATATTGGTAGCTCGGGTGTATTAGTTGGTAATTGATCAGGTGGCTGTTGATCTGTTCGCCGGGCTTGGCAAGTGATTTGCAAACGTTTCGTCACCGTTTGAGGAGACCTCTTCAGTGCGCTGTTGGTTGGGTAGTTTCTCTCTTCGTGCCTGCGTTTATATAGTCTACAAAGAGCAGCCTTTGCGCTGTAACCTAGATTCTGGTCGGTCCGATATTGATCTATATTGAGTTGTGGTTTATATTTCTTGCCGTCTATTGTTGTCTCTTTCGGTTGGCCCGTTCTTGATCTGTATTGCGTCGTAGTCCGCTTCTTTGTTGGTTTGTAGCATACCTCCTATTTTTAGTAGCTTACTGTTCTCCAATTACTCTACACTTGTCGTGTAACTCCGTCAAATGGCGATCAGGTTTTGTAGTTAATCCAATCCCTCAGCACCGTCGGTCTGTGTAAATCGTCACACAAAACCCGTTGGGCCGATCGGTTTTCTTTTAAGATCCACTCCGGCGTGTATTACTCTACTCGAATGTGCCTGTCCCCGTAACCGCGACATTTAAATGTCTGTTGATGACACCTATTCGGATTTCATTAACAACTAATAAGAAGCGTATGAGTTGAGTTGTCATATTCATAGACTGCTTGTTCCAGAAAGGAACTGAGCTATTCTTCTGGAATTAGGGGAACACGAAAGACGCTTTGTGTCAGGGGATATGTGAAATTGACATGGCTTTTGGGCCTTTTGTGACTATTCCGTGTAAGGTCCATCGGTGTATTCCGATCCGCACAGCTGTCACCCTTATTGTCTTCGTTTGATCTGTTTTGGCTTGATTTTTCCACATCATCCGTGGTGCCTGTCGAAGGTTGTTAGGACTAACGATAAATAATATGAGTTGACTCCAGAAACTACTCATCAGTAGTATAAAAGCCGTTAGCGTTGGCTTCGGCACATAGGGGATGCGTATCTGACACTAACCACCTAAAATTACCGCAGCCATCGAAATAAATTCTCAAAGTGACTAGGATATAACCTTTCCATTGATTGCTTGGCCTGTATGAGAAATTATCAGCCAAGCCACTGAATATGTTTCAATCGTAACCTCGGAGGAATTTCCGGTCCCTCCAATATTGCAAAACATTTCATCTTCGGTCTCCTTTTTCAGGCCCGTTTTAATGACTTATCAAAACGTCTTTGGGAGCTTCTTTTTGAGCCTTGGTTGGAGAAGGCCCGGTGTACTTCAGAGTCATCCAGACAGTTCATGGATTGGCCGCGTCTCTGTGTAAGTTTTTCTACTATTCGGTCCGCTCCTGTCCCTGTTAACTCCTTGTTGTTTGTTTTTTTCTCTAGTCGCACCCTACATTGTCATCTTTCGCTGCATTTTTCAGACCCATTTTTATAAGGCAGATAAACGTCAGGTTGATGACACAGACTTCACCGAAGATTTGGATGACATCGACCGACCCGTACGGTTACCTGCCTGGCGTCTGTCACTGGTTGCCCCCACTTATCCCGACGAGAGAACTGAGGATTCGCTCATTCAAGACTCCTGTCGGCAGCTTGCCTCGGCTTTCCAGGAACTTCACACCTATGTGTTCTCTCCACGATCGACAGTAAAGGATGGTGAAGGACCACAAACGATTTCGTCCTCCTTTGTGCGTGACAGTGGCTATTTTGACGATCGTCTAGTAAGGCGTCTGATTGACGGTCGATTCGCCTCCGTCCTTCCTTCAGCGAAGAAATGTCGATCCGCCGAGTTCTTAGCACCAGCCACACAGGCTGTGTATAGTTTGGCCGTGACCGGTGAAGAAACGGGATTCTTCACCGGCTCTCTCAATGAAGATTCCCAGTCCAACACTAGCGGTTTTTCAGTTGGAACAGGTGGGGCCACTTTGCTGGTGTCGTGGATTAACGATTTATCTAGACTGACGGAGAAGCGCAGGACAAATGAAGTTTTGGCCCAAGTACGCAGCTTGTTATCCGATCCAGAACAATTTCATGCTACCTGCATCGTGGGCACAGGTAGTGAGTGTACCAAACGAGGGGAAACTTACCTGGACGAGTCATGGGATGAACAGTTAGACGAAGAGGAACTGAACACGTATCAGAGACAAGCTGCCAATCGACAGAAACAGACTGACTCGTCTACTCACCCGATACCTTCATTGTCGCAGTTGCTGGAGTCCGCACAGAATCGTAAAGATCTAACTCGGTTTGTAGACCTTGGTCACTTTCATTTTCCCCAGTGCAGGGTGAGTTTGTTTAAGCTGGTGCATTTTTCTAATCCCGGGTTAATTTTTCTTCATCTGAATTGGTGCTATTTTAAGAATTCATTTTGTCAGCAACACTGTCATCCTACATGACACAACTACCAAGATAGTGAAATCTGCCCACTATCCCCAAATAACCATTCAGCTGTAGCACCCTTTCGGTGCCTAACTGCCATGCTACCCGAAGGAAGCCCGAGGGCTGGAATACGGCCAGGCTGCCCAAGCCTAGACAGGAGAAGTCGTGATTCCCGAGGTCGGATTTGAACCACGGATCTTTAGGTCAGTAATTTCGCGCTCTAACCACTTGGGCCATCTTGCCGCTCTGATGACCACTGTCCTTAGTCGCTCTGATGCTGTGACCAGTTTCGGCGGTACACTCGCTCAATTGTATTTTTCTCCCGGTGGCACGGACAACTTACGATTAGCTTCTAGTCTCCTTGATTTATCAGCTCTGTGAATTCAAAGTCAGGATTGATTATAAATTCAGGGAACGGCGACCTTGATGCTAAGCATAAGTTGATCGTGGTTCATGGAGGTTTAATCAATTGTTTGCTTACGCGGATTAATTGGCGATGAGTTGTGTTTAGCCGTTTAGCCTTAATATTCATTACTCCGTGGTTTGAAACCAACCTCCGCATCTCGACTTCACTTGTCTAGGCTTGGGTAACCTGGCAGCATCTCAGCCCTCGTGCGTGCTTCCTTTGAACCAAGTGGATAGATGGTATGGATACGGAGTTATTGAGAATTATGTCCCATCACGACTACCACCTTGCCGTCACTTGGCCAGATATTCACGTTAACACATGAACACAACCAAGGATTCATCTTCAACATTATGTGCGTCGGTGCCTCGCCCATCCATATGTACTGGTCCAACCTCGGTGCAGACTCATGATACCCTTTACGTTGCACAGGTCTAGACAGCAGCAATCGAACCGCGTACATTTCTTGTTGGAATTCCGCGCTTCATCCTCTTCATAAAGTTAGACCGGGCACTTACAAATGGAGCCATCAGGCGACGGTTAATCTGACTGCGATTTAAGTAACCTCTGGCCCATCAGTGCTACTAGGGTGCCATACTCAATGTTGACCATGCTTCATTAATTCTCTTGTTGTCTGCCTTGTCAGTGTCGTCCTTCTTGGTCACCGTACACCTTCCTTTGTTGCTCACTTTGTAGGTATCCAAATCGGTTCTGACCTTTTTAGACCAAATCAATGCTATCATAAACGAAGCACAGACCTATTTGGATGTACGCGCTGCACACGAGGATTCGGAATCGTCTCGAGTTGGTGCGAAACGAGCAAATTCTTTCCCGCTTGCGACAACTATCGTTGAGTTGGTACCTCGCCTGCTGATCTCCTATACTTCTTTGATTCCCTGCTTTTTCGGTCCCAAACTCGAAAAAGATCTCTATTTAGCTTGTGAGTCCCTAACTGCTTCATGTTCCGACTGTTGCGTTCGTTGTCTAAGTTGTGTTTGAAAAGCGAATGGTTCCTCCGCCCCCCCCCCCATCCATCTGCAGGCCTGTATCACAACAACTGCATGTACCTGGCACACGAATGTTTCACTTTGGGTGAAATTCGCCTCTATCCAATGCTGCAGAAGGTCCGTTCGGAGTGGACTGGTGAAGATACGGATCTTTTGGAACAGTTGGCTGCTGTAAATACCTGTGTCTTGGTTCCACACTTCCGCACCACAGCCACTAACCTCCTGTTGCGGCATTTGCGTGGTTACCGTGACCAGTTGGTTGGTCAGTTCAAACAAACTCGTGGGTTCCGAGTAAGTTCTGTCATGTTTCTTTCTGTTCCTTTCACGCCTGGTCGATTCACAGTCGTAGAGGTAAACTAATGTGAACGTCCCCGGTGGAAACCTAATTACTTATTTGACCTTTTGGAAAATTGATCATGGACGAAGCCCATGTTCTGAAGGTCACTGAAGTCCGATAGATGTACACTGTTATTTCTCAAAAATGAACGAAAGCATTCCTCGCACGGATCTTCCTCAATCTGGGCCAGTGTTCTGTCACGTAGATGAACTTGGGGCCACCGGAGCCGAGCGTGATTCCATTGTGTATGAATCAACTTTGCTCACTCACAGAAAATGAATCTAACGAGTTAAGTCATGCTTCTTCAGGATCGCCGTCATTTCAAGAGCTTTCACTATGATCAGGTGAGGAGGTACAAGTCAATGACAGGTGTGAATGAGTGCTAGTCAAGGGAGCTCGCGTGCTACGCAAGCGGATGAGTAAATCGTGACTGTATTTCAGAACACACATTGTGTATTGCACCACTACCGTTTTCGAAGTCACTAGTTAGCACTAGAGGTTCCACTTAAGCTCTTTTCATCACCTTCAGTGCTCCGATCATGATTATTCCAGACACGATAGCGACTTGTTCAAGCCCGACTTTTTGCTCTTCGATTGTCCGGTTTCCGATTCTCAAATACCATCCAAATCAACCTGATATTTTGATCGTTGTGGCGCTGTTGGATGCATTTATTTCTTAGTTGCGTCACTTTTAGTCTCACACTGCATGATTGCTTCGCCCATATCTCTCCTGGGACAGAAAGGGCGACGAACGCATGTCCTCTCGAAAGTCAGTGCAAGCCTGACAATATCATCGACCATGATTGCATAGTCAGGGGCACGCCACAAGTGTGAACCGCGTGCTCCGTTCATAGCACATTGCAATGAGTGAATGGGTGTTTGAACTAATGGCCTCACCAAAACCTGCAACAAACTGAGTGCGGCAGACCGCGGAGCTGAACGGTAGAAACGTTAGAACGTCTCTATTTCAAACAGGCTAATACTGAGTCGGAACTCAGGGAAATCTGTTACTCTCCTGGCAGAACACTATTGGTGAATAAGTTTGGAATTCTTTTAGGAGTTAAGATCCCGCATGCTGAATTCACTTTGTCCGTGTATGATACATGCGAATGGTTCACCGGTCGTGACCCACCGGAGTGCTCCTCTTATATACTGCCCCATGGTTCCCTAATATATTCGAGCAATCTTCGGGTACAATTATTCTATTGAATTTCCCTTTTATCAGAGATCTTGTCATCGGATCTTTGGTGAGATCATATCCTGAATGATGTTTGGTAGATTATAAATAGATAAGAGTTTGCTGAAAGCAGACGGGAACACATTTGTTTGAATTTGCTCGTATGTTTAAACATAACTAAACAGATTACACACACCGGTTCATCTACCTAACTCTGTCTTGAATTTCTGGCCCTCGGTGCCGTTGAAAGCACCTCGCCTGATAACATTTGTCCTAAATATACGAGGAACACCTTTCGGATCATTGTTTACAATGGAAGTAAGGGTGAATATATTATGCTGCATTCCTTGGTCAAGGCTTCGAGCCTGAAGAAGGCTTCACCGCATCACAGGCCTTATACTAATATTAACACTTTGGTATGGTTCGGTCACGTCTGCTTGTATTGTGGGCATTTACCCTGTACGGAGGCCAGCCGTCCCTAATAATCGAACACCACATCATTTGGACGGATGTCACGTGCAGGACACGAGCTAAACGAAGGCATGTCCTGATTGGTCAGAATGCCAACCAATCCGAGTCAAGCACCTTTGACTCGGTACTTCTCGCCCCCTCACGGAGATTCTGGAACACCCTGTGACTACCCTATAAATACAGTTGTAATAGTTTTCCTTTGTTTCCATAAAGGGCTGTGTAGAGCTACCGTGCTTTTTGATATACCATAGTGAGCGGAGCAGGAAGCCAAGGGACCGATACCGAGTTGCACTACCGTCCAGCAAGTTACAACACACCCTGGATTCACTCGCTCTCTGATAGAAAAGATGGCCAACGTATATATATATATGTAAATTCGCGCTCTAACCACTTGGGCCATCTCGCCCAACCACAGCCATTCTTGGTTCAATAAAACACTTCATCCTGCACTTGAAGTGCCACTTTGTTGCAAATGAAAGTGCAAGTCCTTCAGTACTCCTGGTAATATAGTAAACAAGACTGGACAACCGTAGGATTCACATTGGAATTCCAAGGACGTGGCCTCTGGCTGAACGCCAACAATCGCCTGAACGTAGCAAGACCACCAAAAGGTCACCAAAATTGTATGGTTTTAGGCCTCCAAGGTGAGTTATGCTTTATACAACCAACAACCCTGTTCCTCCCGATCCACAATCAAGCAACTTCCACTCTGGGACTTTTAAACAAGCGATTCTATCCTGAACTCCGCTGAAAAACAAATATTACAGCTTCAACAACTCCGGACTTTGGCTTTATATGATGGAGGAAAAGTTTCTTCTCAACCAAAGACAGCCCAAATAAGGTCACGGAGGGGAAAATCTTCCGAAATTCTTTACTATTTTAGTAAACTCGATTTTTCGACTGAATAAGTTTGTTTTCTGACTGTCAGAGTGAGTGTCGAACGTCTCAGTTATACTTGTGGCATTAAAGCACTGTAAGATACGTTCTTGTTTCTCTCCTGCTGACGGACTTAGACAGATCTTGGTTATTCCTGACGACGTTTTTTTAGAGTAACGAGCCTCACGCGACCAAAACAGTCTAGAAGGGCAAGATGACTCAGTGGTTAGAGCGCGAATTTACTGACCGGTAGGCACGTGGTTCGCCCCTTACCTCTGTCACTCGACTTCCCCCGTCTAGGCTTGGACAACCTGGTGCTGTCCCGGACGTCTTGCCTCCTTTGGATGGCGTGGCAGCTAGGCGTCGAAAGGGTGCTACAGCTGAACTATTATCTCTTATTTTTTCACTAGCCTAGAGAAACTTTCAAACAAGCCACTTTCGAAAGGAAACGAAGATCTCACCGCTGACTGATGGGTTGACACACCTGTGGATTTTACCAGTTCTCGAGCGATTGAAGCGAAGTGAACCTGAACGCTTACCATAGATTTAGATAACGCGCTTATCTCTACTCGGAAGGTTATTGGCTTGATTTTTCGCGGATATGTGATCCTCGATGGGCACGGAATAAGTGTGCACTGTTTATTGCTCTTCCCCAATATGCTGACTGCGATTCACACGGTGGAATATTTGGATATGGAAGTCGTACCATTCAACGACACTTGGAATGAACAATTCGTCTTAACTTATGTTCTATTACAGCACAATTGCTCTAAACTCTCTGTTCTGTTACTTACTCAGTTCCTTGTTTTTCTTCTCTATCAGGATGTTGGTCTTGCGGAAAATCGCCACGCAGCCACGCAAGCTGTCCATGAATGTTTGGATCTCCTCCGCAGTGCGTCAGATGGTTTGAAACCTCTCCCGCTCACCGTGTATTACCGCTGTATGGGTAAGTATCATCTGCACTTCTACATCCTTTTCGCCGTCAACAATGAATCAAATTCAGTCCAGGTGTTCTGGCGTGGAGTATGTTCGGGTTTCCACGACGTCCCCAACCTCATGGTTTTCTGTTCCTCGTGATTGATTGTTGTTAATCTGCTGGAAGTAATGGTGGATAACATCGTGCTTCCAAGATTTGCGCGTCACCAACTCGACTTCCTTTGCATGCTTTTTGCATAGGTATCATGAGTAAAAATACCCTTTAGTTTGGTTCAGTTCACACTTATAGCCAATCTGGCTACAAAGGTGCTGACGAAACTGGACACGTGTTAGATAAGTATAGCACTTGTCCACTGAGCCATCTGCGTTCTACGAAATGATCAAGTTACTTGGATGATGCTGATCATTTCATACAAGCGACAAGGCAGTGTTGCCAGTTTAATCTCCTCTTCCTGGAATCCCCAAATTGATCTGTCCCATCTATCCTACCATGTTTTGTCATCCAAAATGGTGAGATGCTCTGCTCACACGGCGTCGCTTGTGGAAGATCACGAAGTAATAATAATAATCGTGTGGCTGTAACACCCCTTGAAGGAAGCACAAGAGCTGAGACAATCCCAGGTTGCCCAAACCTAGACAGCGGAAGTCGAGATGCTCAGGTTGGGTTCAAACCATGGGTCTTCCGGTCAGTACGATGGTGCCTTAACAACTGAGCCATCTCGTAAGAAACAACACCGTCTAACTCAGCCCTCCAACGTATTCGGGTGAGCCCGACATGACTACTTCATGCGCCTGATACGGCACCTTGTATGACATCTGTAACTAAATTGGAGGTCGCTGACTGCATCATCTTCGCCGTCACTACCACCCAGTTGATCCGTTTAGTGACTGTCTGCAGCCGTCTCTTGATTTTTATGTTCGTAGGTTGTAGCGGTTAGCACTCTTATGCCTCACGGTTTGTGTAGGCAAGATTATGACCAAAATCCACGTAGTGAATACTATTCAGGTTGTTGACGTTCCTCACAAGCAACAATGAGCACCGCGAATCGTCGTCGCTCAGATCCTTGATGATCCTCCGAATCAAGATATTTGAAGTTATTTTGAGGAAACCTCTTTAATTTCTCTTCGTGTACGCACCAGTCTGTGACTAACTCTGTCATTCTTCCATGGCCTACATTGCATGACACCCGTACCCTGTGCAGAAAAACGTCAAATCAGTGGGCGTCTCAGGATGGTGCACGAACTCATACAAAAACGATGGAATCAGTACGATTTATCATTCGTACAAAATAATTATTGAGAGCTCGAGATAGCTCATTAGTTAAGGTGCGACTCGAAGGTTCATGGTTCGAACCCAACCTCAGCACCTCGACTGCTTGTGTCTAGACTTGGGCAACCTAGGTGTATCTCAGCCTTCTGGCTTCCATCGGGTTGCGTTACCGCTGGGCATCGGATGGGTATTATGGCTGAATGATTATTATTACTACTAAGAGTGTCATTAATGATAATGTCTCGTAACTTTGGATATTTCATGGGAAATCGTCCGGTATCAAACGTGGTTCATCCAATACAAGACATATAAGCTTATTAGTAGTTGTTACTACTTGTTGGTACTCATGAGTATTACGGATAATTATGCAGAATGGCAAGTGGTAGCGTTTTCAGCTGTTTTTCTGCTCTTCATTCACCTATTCTGATTTTTTTCTACCTAGACTTTCACGGGTGCTTACTTCGAGTAGTATCGTTAATCTTCAAATCATACAGTTTCATAGTTAGTCTGCGTTTAATTGCACATTTTTCGTGAGACACTGTTTTCAAACATCCACTGTGAAATGTGCTCACTACTGATGATAAGAGTCATAACATACATACATATTGTACCAATAATAAAGGCAACCCCATCCTAAACACGGCTGCCAGCTATCCGAGACTATGGACTGACTTGGGCAAACTCTAGGTCTACCTGTGTACATTTATATAGATGAAAAGCATTTCAGGTTTCGTCGTGCAGCGTATTGACTCAGGTGTGCCCTCGATGTGAATCATCAAAGAATTGTGTGACTCCGCGCTGCTGCAACATGTTGCCTTTGCTTACTTACCACATATGTGGCTGCTATCGCGGCCATACCCATCTCACCACGTTGACCTCGATTTTTGGACACGATATTCAGATAATGAATTCGGGTATACGAACAATGCCCTTTCCTCACCAAGCCGTTCGCCTGCCTCAGCTGATATCTTTCGTGCTTGTCAGACCCGGGTCTTCTTTGCTGGGAGGAATTACCATAATATTATTAATAGTTTGTCCAGCTCTGGTAGTTTTCCAGTGGATGCTACCGTGCGACCGAAAGAAGTGTGTGAGTTGCGATACGGTCAGTTTGCCAAAACCCAGATAGGGATAACAAAATAATCTAGGGCTGGGTTTGAACCGCCGAACCTTGGTGTCTCGAACGATGAGCTATCTCGAGCCGAAGCAAAGTAATTCGCAACGATTATCCACACATTTCCACGGACGTCTTTCAACCCTACCTCCATCGTGCTTACCCCAACCTCTACTCCATTTTGCTTACAGGCGTCCTCTGTAATACCGTATGTTTGGAACTCAATTCGAGCCTGCTACAACTGATCGATATGACCACGCAGGATTGTGAAGTTCTGGTGAACCTCATAAATCTGGTCGAGGCCGAAGTAAGTGGATTGACACCAGTACCACTGCGTCACTATCGCACTGCCATACTCCCCTTTTATTCAACAACTTAATGTCTTATGCCTAGGTTGGTTGTCACAGAACTTATTCTGAACCCCTTGTTTTAGCTGGGAGCTGAGGCTGTCGTCATGAAACACCATATACATGGCGCCCAAAACAAATAATGAATGGGCGGGTTGCGCTGTGGAATAAGAAACGGATTACTAATTAGTAGGGTTGTCATCGGAACGCACAGAATGACTGGCTCAGTTTCCGGGCTAGGCTCCGTTGCCACCTTTCCAGTGAGATTTCTCACTACTGTTATTTCGTTAGTAGCACAAAACCCAACTTCTTTATGGTAGTGACGTGGCGGCGCTCCGCGTCCGACGTGGAGCGGAATGGTACAGTACAGACAGTTTTCGCGTGTCAAGTCCAATAATAAGTAAGGCTACACATTTTGGCAAGAGTTTTCCGTTTGAGAGCGGATTCCTTTTCTGGTTATCGTGGATTCCACTCCAACCCTTCCCTCTTTACTCTTCGCTTCATAAGGATAAATCGGACTGGTCGTATGGCTGGTAAGGCGTACTACAGTGTCTCACCATCATTGCTGATGACTTCCAGATTTTCGACGCAGGAAGCAGCCACTTTCTACTCGTTTTATTGTCCTCTTACTCCCATTCGTTCAAAGTTTGAGCTGGTTGCATTCGCATCTTCTATAGCCGCCGTTTGTGACTTGCTGACAACGGTGCGATTTCCGTCTGTCCTTGGCTTGCTGTCCCGCCCGCTATGTTATGTCTGAAGGCACGCTAGGTTGAGACAGCTCTTTATGAAGGCAAAGGGAGATTACCACGGCTCTGCTTATAGAAGTATCATCGAATGCTCCATAAGGTCACGTCAGATTCCTCGTGATGGGGCGAGAAGCAGCGAGCTTTAGATGCTCGATCCTTATTGGCTGACATGCATCAAAGCGTGCTTTCGTTTGGTTCGTAGTCCGCACGTGGCACCTTTCCAGTCGATGTGATGTTCGGTTTTTAGGAGCGGCTGGCCTCCGGACTTCCCGTTCGACTTTTCCAGTGTGGTGTACCGTTTGAACAACAATAAGCTGCGGATACCTTGTGTGGGTGTCGCGTAAAATCTCGTTACACCGAAGTTTTGGATTTGGGCTGTTCCTTACAGGTAATTGAGTGACGTGGATGCACTGAAACTCCCAACTGCTTCCGTTTGTAAGTTGGGCTCTTACAATTAGGAAGTTCTTGATTCACAAATTGCGATCCGTTCCTGACCAGGTTCATCCCCAAAA